GTGAGCAGATAAGAAAAACCTCATAAAAGGAAAATCTACTTTAAACTCAAACTAACCCTATAAAGATGTAAGCAAAGTGCTTTGTGATTAAGAACCTTGCTTGGCCTGGTATTTATACACAAAACCCAGGTGACTTACCATATATGAAATGTTAGAACAAAACCTGAGTTCAAAACACCCATGGTTAAGCCTTATGTCAAAAATACAGAATTACCCACATAAAGAGAGCAAATTGTCAAAAATTAGTGTTCAACCAGGATAGTCTAGTAAATTCTGGCAGGGTTGATTAAGTTATTTAACTCATGAACTTGGCTTTTTCTTCTGACATTGATGATTATCTCTAAGAAGGGTAAAATTCTGCCCTTTTCAATGGCAATAAAAGCAGACCCTTTTAAAGGGAAAAACATAGTAGCTGTCGCTTTAACTATAGTAATTTGAATGCACGAGAAAGATACAAGACTCTTGAAACTGAATTCAAGGCAAGTTTGGAACCATAATCATTGTTTCTGCAGCTAATTGGTCAGCCAAACTATGCCAAATGCATTGCCATATTAGCTCTAGTTCATGAAGGACATTTTGTTTTATTACTTTTTCTTTTTTTTTTCAAAGCATTTCCACTAATGAGTTCGAAGCACTCAAATGAATATCATCAAATATAATAGGATTTGATTCAAAAAAAAGAAATAGAAAAGATAAGTTTGGCTTCTGTCTTTTTCTCTCTCTCATTTTTTTTTTTACAATTGTTTGCAAGTTTGTTTTTCTAGTTTTAATCATATATCGAAATATCACTTTTAAGAAACAGTAAAAATAATAATAGATTTAGTGATCTATTAAAATATATCATTTTTGATGATTTATAAAAATAAATTTATCAATGATCGATCGAAATATCACTTTATGATTAATTAAAATAATAACTATTTTAACGATCGATCCAAAAATAATTTTTAAGGGTTAATAGATATAACTTTCTCAACAATCGATCGAAATATTACATTTCAATAATCGATCAAAATAGTAATCTTTTTAACAATCGATCGAAATATTTTTTTTAATGATTGATAGAAATAACTTTTCCAACGATCGATCGAAATATCACTTTTAAAAAACGGTAAAAATAGTAATTTTTTTATTGATCAATCAAAATATCATTTTTAGTGATTGATAGAAATAATTTTTGACATAATACTTAGAAAAACTCTTAAACTATTCAAAAAATATCATTTTTAATTAAAAATAAAAATAATTTTTTAACAATCAATCTAAATATCATTTCTAATGATCAATAAAAATAATAACATTTTTAACAATCAATAAAAATATCAATTTAAATAATAATTAAAAACCATTCTTTTAACGATTTTTGTTACCGTATATGATTTTTATAATCATATTTTATTTATAATATTATAAAAAATTTACATAATATAGTTAAATCTATAATGATATTGTAAAAAAATGTATAATCTCAAATCAAATTTGTTGTAATGTATTCAATCCTAAATGAAACTTAATCTCACGTCCGAAATATTTCTCCCTTTATTAGATCCATAAAGGTACTGATCAAATGAAAAGTCCATGCAAATTAAACTGAAAATAACAAGCCCGACAAGCTAGAACAACAAGCACGAAAACTAAAGATTAAAAACAGGGAGATCGATCTTCTCCGCCCCGGGCAGAAGCTGGAAGTTTTACATGGGACCACGGTTGATGTCTTCGTTGTTGGGATGACCAAATCCAAACTGGTTCTCCCAGTTTTGATTCTGCATGTCCAGCGCCCCAGCTGGTTCCATAAATTGATTGAATCCTGGTTGATTCAGGGCCATATTCACCAGCTGGTAGCCGTAGTTCTCTTTTTGGGAGAATATTGGTGGATACGGTGCTTGATACAGCAAAGACATTTCCTTCAGCTCTTCCCTCACCAGCTTCAGCTGCTGATATTCAGCTGCAGAAAAGATATCCCAACATCACTTTTGTTTTTTTCTTTTGACTCATTTTGTCATACACATCGGAAAGAGAGAAACAGATTGAGAGAAAGGGGAGATTAAACCATTTTTGAACGCAAGTTGTCGAGTCAAGGCAGTCAGTTTTTGTTGCATGCAACTATTCTCCGCTCGCAACAATGAGTTACGAGTATCAGCATACTTGATCCTTGAAGAGTTGACTGCCAATTCAGCCTGTATACATATAAAGATAGTGTTAGGGTTTCTTTTCTTATGACAAAAGTTGTAACTTATTAAGATTAAGACACGTGACACCATTTCGATCCTTTGTATTTTTTTATTTGAAATCTTATTCTATTACGATTAAGACACATAATGTTATTTTGAACATCCGTACTTTACGGATTTACAAAAAGTATAAAAATTTCATTTATGATAATAAAAAAAAAAACTTTCTCTTTTGATATTATTCCTCTTTTTCTTTCATTCGATTCTTTTGGATTCGATCTATACATTCGATTTATTCCCAAAAGATATAACCTTACAAATTCTTTTTATTTGAACTTTTTTATGTCAAAACTCATAAACATAACATAAAAGCAATGCATGATTTTTGTTTACCTGGAGACTTCTTACGTCTGTTTCCAGCTGTGCAGTGTGTTGCTGCTGTTTGAGTCGATACCTTAGTGAATATTCACGGCCTGCAGTAATTCTACATGGCCAGAAGAAAATACAAAGAGCATAAAACATTCACAAACCTTCTCGAGAAAACATACCTGAATCTCTAATATAAAATAGAACTATGAGATGTTGTTTACCTTTTGAGCTTCTTGGGGTCCATGTTATTACCAAGCCCTCGTCCTTGACCCTGAGGAACCTGATCAGGAACTTCTTTTCCAGTCTTGGATTGATCAATCTGATCAGCAGGAGCCATCTCATGGTCAGCTTCGCCACTTCCGCTGGATGGTAACATCGGCAATGGAGCATCGGGGGTCTGCTTAACATTTTCGATCTTAATTCCTTCCATTGCTTCAACAAGTTTGTCACCTGCAAAAAATTGAACTCAATTCAAGAAAGTAAAACAACCCCAACAATCTTGTCAGAGTGTTTGTGGCTTGCTCTCAAGAATAAGAAGCTTGCAACTAAACACCAAAAGAAGTAAACTATAGCAACATCAAATGAAGCGAAAGAATTGAAATCATTGCGTATGTAAAAAATATTTTAAATCGATTCGCTTAAAATTTAACTAAAGAATCAATAAAAACATTATTTTCACGAAACGTACACAGACGTACCTTTATGAAAAGAGAGAAAAGAGCGAGGCAAGTAAGCCTAAGACCTTTTCCTATTTATAAGCCAGGGCTACCTGCTAAATTCTCCAATGCTCATGCATAGTGATATGCATGTATCTATTTGATTTCCATATATGGTTTAAGCCTCTAATATACCCAAAATGACCAGGATTCTTTTTCTCTTGTTAAGCTACAAAGATTTTTATTAATAAGTAATCAAAATGTTACAGAATTCATGCTAACCACGAGATTCACAAAGCACAGTTAACAGTGAAAATATCACCTAAACTTACAAATATACTGCAGCAGGATTTCAAACATAACCTGCCTCTAAGCAACACTTCACCCTCTCTAGCTAGAGCCCATATGCATGTCCAGGATTTTGATTAAAAAAATAATAATAATCTTTTTTTTTTTAATTTGGGTGAATTAGTCTTTGCACTTCTCCCATTGTGGTAGGTAATCTGGCATTTGAGCTGTATTAGAAATAGTTGTTTTTACCTTCTTTATTGTTACCTTATAAGTTAACTTGTAATAACCTGGTATTAAAAGTGAACAAAAGGCTCCAAATTGCCTTAAAAAAAAAACAAGAGGCTCCAAATAATTGTACAGTTGTCCATTCAAGGGAAATCAAATGCTCCAAGATGTGTTCCTGACCTGGAAACACCATGTCATCGTTTCATATATGGAACCCTAAGAAATATATCCATGTATGTCTTAGTGAAAAATTGGAAAGTCATTTGATTAATGTGTATGGATTCTGGAAATGATTTAAGTCATTTACATGTCAAATAATGGTAAATTCAAAATTTTATATGAAAAGTAACTAAAAGGTAATTATAAAGATAATCATACTATATACATATATATATAGCAATTTTTATACATAAATAATAAAAAAATTAAAAATTAAATGGTGACGGCTACCACCAACCGTTACCCCTTGGCTTTGTCGGTGATGCAAGATCTCATTTTATATATATATATATAATCTTTATTTAAAGAAGAGGAATTTGAATTTAATTCGACGAACAAGAAATTTGTATGCATTACTATAAATAAAGAGAATCGACTTAGAACATGCTATAGTCAACATATTTCAAAACTTTTGGAATTTTATTGACCCTATTCATAGTATAGGTAGTACAATTTTAGAAAGCTTAATAGAAATTTTTTGGGACATTAAAAGCTTAATATATAGATAGAAGCATTACTTAATTATATGCATATACCTAAGCTTTAGAAGAAAGTATAGGTAGTATAATTAATTTATAATTTTTTCAGGATATGATTCATTTTTATGATTGGTATCGAGAAAAGCAATTTTATATATGAAAAATTAAACACTTATATAGATTAGAAAAATATTTAATGCTACTGAATTTTAACATAAACAACTTAAATATGAAATTAAATTGTAAAAAACTTCTTCTTTTATTCCCATATTTTCTTACATTGGTTAATTACTTCCATATGGCCCAAGAAACTGCAAGAGGTGAATCAATTTAACTAATTGTTGCCTAACACTTGCCTAATACTTTAATTGATTGACACAAAATTAAATCCTAATTAATAATTAATTAGTTGTCGATCATTTTTATTGCTGAGAAATTTAAATATATATTTATATTCTAATAGATTATTTATATGTGTGATACATGAAAAGCTCATATATAATTCAAATTCAATTTCACTTGAGGGAGGTTGGGGAATATATTTTACATATCCAATCTTTAAAAGTTCAATTCGAAAGGTGACAAATTCACTTATTCTTTAAACTGTTAATAACTCGATTGACAGATTTTTTAAAACAAAGTTTAATTACAATCGAAATATGTTATTTAGAACGATGAAATTTTTGTCTTGATATTTTTTAATAATTGTTTAATGATATGAGTTTGTTATATAGGTATGTGTGTCACATTGCGCTTTTCATTACCATATTCAAATTGTAACAAACAATTACTATATTTTTAGATAAAAATTATATTTATTAATAAACTTTTTAGTAAGACAAATAGGCAAAATTAATACAGGGTAACGTCACATTTATTACTGTCGATATACATACGTCATGTACCCTCGGCAAAGCCTACGGAAGAATCAACGTGCTACTGTCACGGGGTCATTACTCTCTCCCCCACAAACCGGCTTATAGGGGTATGCAACACACCCGCTTATAAGGAGCCCAGGACTTCCCGTTCCTGTCTGATGTGGGATAGAGGCACTTTCCTTGTGACACTCTCACTCACCCGAATCGGCAATGCCTCCGTTGCCGTCGGCCACCCTGCCTACCTCGTTGGGCTCCACTGGACCAGCCCCACCTGGCCGGACGTTTGGCGTGAGTCAGAACGAGAACCGGTCCGCTCTGATACCACTTTGTTACGGAATCATTACTCTCTCCCCCATAAGCCGGCTTATGGGAGAGAGAGTAATGACCCCGTGACACTACACCCACCTAGGAATGGTGGTTGGTGAATTTTAATTGAGTACCCCATTCGATTAAATTCGAGTAATACGATTTTGCATACTAAAATTAATATCCGATTCGATTTAATCAAGTCGGGTCGGATTCTGAGTTTTTAATCGGGCATCCACTCCTGACAGATTCGAATCCGCTAAGTGGTCCTGGCCCACTAGACTTGCCGTTGCTCTAACCGGAAAACGAACAACCAAAAAGTCAATGACGATTTTGGCGAGAAAAAGACAGAAAAATTAATAACTTCGGATGGCTTCTACAGCTGTGCCTTTCTACTCTTCAACAATTCCTAAACTCTCTTCTAAGCTCAACAACTTCATCTTCGACCCTCACGTATCTCTCTCCTTCACCGCCACCAGCAGCAACGAATTTAGTAACCGTATCAGTTTACGATCGACAAACTCCCGAAAACGCGGCCGAAATCCGACGCCTCCCGCTGCCGCCATGATATTTCCTCAAAATCCGGTCCTTTCCGACGTTTCCGCCACCGTGATTTCCTGCTTCGTCGCTCTCTCGGTCCTCCGTGTCTGGGAAGAGACCGCCAAACGCCGCCTCTTTGACCAGGTTGTCAAAAACTCCGGACACCTGGTTTCGTTTATCTTTCGTTGACTGTTAGTATTATTATTGTGGAGTTAAACATTTTAAAATTCTGACTTAGGTATAACTCTGTCCAGCTAAGCAGTCAATTTTGGAAGCTTACGAATTTTTTACTTTTTTATTGTATTAGCGTTTCTTGTTTTTAGTAAGGAGTGAGCTTCGTTTTTAGCTACGGATGAGGGAGAGAGATTGGCGGTGGTTAATAATGCTAGATAAGAATCCGGTGGTGTCTGACTTGTTAGCCGCCGCGGTTTGCTGCGGCGTTATTTTTGCGTTTCTTTTACTCTGGCAAGAAACTGCCAAACGAGGCCTTGATCAGGTCAGTGTAAGCCTGCTTTGCTCTTATCGCTAAACGATGCGTTCTTTTGGTTGCATTGGAGTTCGAGATTTCGTGATTCGGATGATTCTATCCGATTCCGATTCTAATGTTAAATTCATACTCCCAATCGGCAATTACCTCGTCCCAAAGAAATTAACAGGGTCAACGCATCTTAAGCTTAGTTTTGACATGATTAACCGATTTTAACTACATCTTTATGAATGATGAGCTCAATTCTTAGGAATTAACTTCCTCTGATTGCATTTTTTTATCCTGTTCTTTGGAATTTGACTTACCTGTTATTGGAAGTGAGATCTAGCAGCTAGTTTTTAGTTTCATGCTAAGTTTTCTGTTTCTTTCCTTTGCATCATGGACGAGTTTTTCTCACTTCGAAGAGAGTGCTGGATGAAATATGTGCTGCCTGATAGTTTCAGAATGGAGTTGGTAATTTATGCTATTGATTTCGGAGGGGGGAACAGATAGAAATTGCAATGCAATTGAGGATTAAAATCATGTGATTCAGACGTCTATGTATTGTTGGATTTGGGGTTTGTATAAACCATTTCAAATTTGCCATATTTCTCGTTTGGCCATTGATTTCTGGATAGCAAAGTGTTAAGTATAGAGATTTTCACGTTTCAGGGGATGATATAACTGCTTAGGATTGATCTTGCAGTCAATGTAAATTCAGTCATCTGCTATCCTTCATGTATTGAGTAAAGAAATGGTTTCTCTTAATTTCTGTCTGGTGAATGATGCTAGTAAACAGTTTGTTCCTAAGTAACCCGGTTCATTACAAAGAGACAAAA